TTTTTGCAATCCTTGTGCGCGCTCTCAATTGCATCAGCAAAAGCGCACGCGAAAACTGTGTTCGGCCACCTTAAACAGTAATGATAATAAAAATTAAAAATCTTTGTACTTGATGTACAAAAACTTATGTCTGAAAGTCTGCCGTTTTCTCTTTAACTATCTCCTTTAAAAATTTGTGCCATTTCTTTTATAGCGTCAAACATAAGTTTTTGACTTTTAAGATCTCTCTGCCTCCTTGTCAGCGAGGCGCTTGAAAAGGTCGTGGTCTTTACTTTGACTTTCTTGTAAAAATTCCACACGATCGCTGTTGGACTCAGCCGAAGCAGCCTTCGCTTTCTTTACGGCAGGCGCTTTTCCTTTGCTCCTTTTTTTGGAACGTTTTGGGTTTCCTTTTAAGTTCTTTTCGAACTCCTGTTCCAGGTCTGTATTGCTTTCATGATCTGCTGGAACATTTGATTCAGGTGAAGCTTCAGAGTCACCAACTGCAGTTGCGTTGGCGTCTTCAGCCAAACCACATTCGACAACTTCTTTCAGCATGATGTTCGGCTTGGATCCCAAAACTTCATCGATCATGTCGTAGTATTTGAACGATTCCCAGTTGTTGCCACTTCGGGAATTGTGGTCCTTTACTCGTTTGTACTCGTCCTGAAGGTATTTAATGCACGCCTTACACTGCGTACCTGTGCGGTAGCTTGGTATTCCCTGGTCTTTAAAAATGGAATTGAGCTTCTTTGTGATGGCATCCCACACAGTGCTGTTTCTTTTCTTGCTGATTGGGAAATTGTCCCTCCACAATTGAAGTAAATACCTTGTCTCCATGTCTGTCCAGTCAGAGCCACGGTTCCTGTTCATAGCTCTTGGCTGTGGATTTTCTTCGTTTGTTGTGTTTTCGCTTTTGCTGCTTGGGACTGAGCTTGTCGAGGGTGACACATGTGGCATAGGAACTTGGTATAGAAGAACTGCTGCTTGCCCGTAATGTGGGAATTGATTCTGCATGCTGACGCTGTGAAACAGGTGAGGCCCTGGACGAGGGATCTGAGCATCCAACAGGTCCGGAGGAATTGTAAAACGGCGAAAGAATTGGGAAGTGTTTTGCAATTTGTCAGCCATGTTTACAAGCATACAAGGTTTTGTTTCGAAAGAACCACAAGGCGAGCGTCTGGAAAATAATTTTGCCAGATTGTTTGGCAGGCATCTGTCACTACACGCGATGCAATTGGCTGCGGTATTTGTCGGGACAAGTTAAACCATCTTGCGAGGTAGTATAACTCTGCATGAGTTTCCCGTCATAAAGGCAAGAAAACCCTTTGTTTTTCTTTGTGAAAACAGTTGGCATTGTTAACTCGCTAAACACCAGACAAAGTGTTTTCACTGTATTTTCAGACTTTCTGACTTTATCGAGCTAAAATTGTCCTAGTGAAAACACAACCACAAGGTTTTTCATCTTTTTCTCGATAAAATAAAACTGCATATAAGGATGAACATTTTTAGTTCGTTTACGCATGTCTTCCGACGGAATTGGCTGAAAATCGGTAGGTATGTTCCACAACACCTTTCTCGAAAAAGGGTGTCAGGCTTTGTTTAATTTTGCCTTCGTTTCAAAGTTATGGCCTCTTTAGTAGAAAGAAACCTCCGCATTGAAAATGTTAAGTTTAAGAGGGTGTAGAAAAAAAACCAAACCACATCTGGAAAATCACCGACACGCTTTTTGAGGGTGATATGTGAGAAAACATTTGCCATGTTAATTGCACCACTCCGAAAATTCACTCGCGGAAGCAAACCAGTTTAAACAAAGTAGTATTTCTGAGTATCACTTTTAATATTACCGTGACAATAACTTTTTAGAAAATTTCAAAGTTATGATTGCATTCTATAACTATTAAGCTTTCAGAAAATGTATGGGTTGATGGGGTTTTCTTTGAAAGCGCCTGCGTAAGAGCGCAATTTCCAAACACTGTCAATCCACCTACCATGATACCTTAAAGAAAATAAAGGCAATGAGTTGTCTGTTAGGGTATTTATTAATGGATCATCCATTGTTGCTTTTGTCTTTTCAGATCATTCCAATCGAGTTGTTTGAGACTCAGAGTGCCGATGGTCACTTTGTGCCAATCTGTCCCAGTGGTCATAACATTAATCTTACCTTTAGTAACCGCCAAGAATACGTTGAGCGTGCTCTTCAGTATCGCTTACATGAAATGGATCGTCAAGTGGAAACAGTCCGTGAAGGTATGGGCTGGATTATTCCAGTTCCTCTTCTGTCACTATTGACGGCAGAAAAACTTGAGCAGATGGTTTGTGGATCCAAAGAAGTTAGTATTGAAGTACTCAAGAAAGTTGCAAGGTAATTTTGGATTGGCAGCATGAAGAGTAGAAACAGAGCTTTTCAGACAAACACAAATTACAGAGTTCGCTTGTTTAAGGTGATTCCTCCGAAGTAATAATAATAATAATAACTTTATTTAAGTGTCAATTGTATTTAGCACTATTAAATGTGCTAATTGGGGAACACTAAATGAATAAACAAATGTTTCAAATATATAAGTAAAGGTCGTGGGATCCAGCGTCTTGGTCTTGGACGAATAAGTTACTTGCTGCTACTGCTACTGCTTACTGCTGTTACTTGCTGACGCATCCATAAACGATGCCACCAAATTTAGGATGGTTGAACCAGATAGACTTAAGTGTAGAGGTAGACCACCGAAACACTATCACCCCTCCTACAAAAGGAGAAGGAGCTGGAATCACTTGTTCGCCGAATTCTACCCACTCCAATTGCAGAGTCTGTCCATCCATCAGGTTCCAGGCTAACCCACCTTTATGGTTTGCCCAAAACACACAAGAAAGAGTTAGCTATGCGACCTATTCTGTCAGCTACACAGACCTACAATTATGCCCTCGCCAAATGGCTAGATGACAAACTAAAACCTCTCGCCACAAACCAGTATACGATAAGCGACACCTTCGAGTTCGTGAACGAGGTCCACGAATTGGCGATTATCAATGGAGATATTCTGGTTTCCTATGATGTTTCTTCCCTGTTTGCCAATGTACCCCTGGAGGAGACCATACAACTAGTCGACGACAAGGCTTTCATTAATAATTGGTTTAATGAAATGTACCATCTTAATCTCAATAAGCTGCACCTCATCGATCTTCTTAGGGCGGCAACAAAGGACCAACTTTTCACATTCAACGGCCAGCTTTATGAACAGACCAATGGAGTTGATATGGGCTCCCCCCTTGGTTCTCTATTAGCCAACGTCTTTATGTGTAGCACTGAAGAAACCTTGGAGCATGAAGGCAAGATGTCTACATATTACAAGAGATTTGTGGATGACACACTGACCATAATGCCGGACAAAGCATCAGCAGACAATTTCCACGAGATTTTAAACCAGTGCCATTCCTCTATTAAGTTCACCATGGAGATGGAGAGTAACAGCATGCTTCCTTTTTTGGGCACCCAGCTGCTCAACAAACATACACATGTAGCTACATGTTGAGACTAAGGTGTATGTTAAACCCACAAATACTGGCCTCCTGCTATATTACAAGAGCCATGTAGATGACCGGTACAAACGTGGGTTGTAAAAAGTATGCTTGATTGTGCATTTCGACTTTCATCCAATTGGCGTTACTTCTCTGAAGAATGTGATCGACTGAAATTATTGTTTTCTCAACTAAAATATCCTGACAATTTTGTCAACTCTACCATTTTACGGTTTGTTGTCACCAAAGCATCGGATCACCCTGTTTCCCCACCAGCTGTCAGTGATCAATCAGACCCCATTCCTGTGGTCCTACCGTTTAAAGATCAGGCCTCAGCTGATATTGTACGTGCCCAACTTAAACATTTTAGTCAGAAGATCCAGACAATCGTACAGCCTGTATTTGTCAGCCAGAAATTTGGACGAGATCTCAAATTGGGAGAAGCTAAGCCGCCGATTGTGAACCAGCAGTGTCTTGTTTACAAATCTGAATGTGACCTGTGCGATGCAGGTTATGTTGGTTTAACACGCCACCATCTGCACCAACGTGTTGAAGAACAAAAACTCTTCTTCGTCAATTGGTAAGCATTTTCGCAGCAAACATTCTTTGGCTCCAAAAGATCTTACAAAGAATTTTAGCGTTTTAATGAAGTGTACGAACAAATGTGACTGCTTCATCTATGAGATGTTTTTTATTCACGAGCTGAGACCTACTCTCAATGTACAATCTGACTCAATTCGTGCTAAGGTCTTTAATTAGCTTTTCATTAGTTTTTTTCTTTGTATGTTTTTATTGTCCGTTTACACCTGCAGATCTTTTTAAACTTCTTACTTACATATATATATTCACTGTTCAATTTTACTATTTACTTGATAATGACCGAGGTACAGTCGAAACGTCGTGTTTTACTGTTGATTTTTATCGTTAAAAGTTTCAAATAAAACATAAACTATTAAGAATCCCAACTGGTTGGAGGCTGACCAGTTGGCTATTTACACAACGTGGTCAAGGAGTTGAACTCGGGACTACCGAGAACAAATCCAGATAGCGGCAGGGTGGAGGATTTGAACCAGGGACCTCCAGATTTCAAATCCAGTGCCCTAAACCACTCAGCCACGCCGCCTTCAAAAAGAAGGGGTATTTTAAAAAATGAAAACTTTGCCCACTTTATGATAGTACTAAAACGAAATAAAATGGTTGTCACTGTGCTCTTTAAATGCATAGCATAGTGCAAAACGTAGAAACGACTATATTAGTATGGGGCAAAATATGCAAATGTGTCACTCACTCAGACATAAACTTTTGGCCGATAACATGGAGAGCCTGGGTATGAGTTTCTCGAAGACCTTCAAAGTTGAGCACGGCAATTTTGGTTCATGTGTTTCGCTTTTGTAAATGTGTAGTATTTTTCCTAGGGCTTTTGCTCACACGTAGATGAAAGCTGGTAGAGGTATTTATGACTGTGATCATGTATTGGTCACCACAGAGCGGCCGGCGAGGTCAAAGAATTGTTACAAGTCTAATAATATACAAGCAACAATTTCTGCAGTCTGATTGGCTGAGAACATGTCAATTAATCCCAAATCAGTGATCAGTGCAATTTCACCAGTGCAAAAAAGTTAAATTGAGTGCAAAACAGTCAAATTAAAAATGATTGACAGCTCTGACAAAATTGAGCTAGGACAAACAAAATGGCAGACAAAAATGAGACAAAGACTTCATAACAAGCAAAATACAAAGTTCAGCAAAAATAACCACACTAGTTATCGCGAAGTGTGTCAGATAAGAAATATGCACAAAATCCGCGAGGAGAAAAACATAAGTTAAACTTGAGTTGACTGAATTGAAATACCAGAGTCAGTCGCGACGGCGTGACAAAATCCCAGTTGAAAAAGTCACTTTTAAAATTCCGTCAGTACTACGAAGCAAAACGTGAAGAAGGACCCAGCAAGACGTCCTAAGAACCTGCCATGTCTTAATTTCAAAGACGAAAGGTGCAACCATTCCACTTTTGCAAAAGAACAAAGCTTAGAGATTAGGTAAGATAGTTCACAAACAAAACGCAACAAATGCAAATCTAACCTGTGCAACATCCAGTGAAGAAGTTAAAGTCAGGAAGCAACCAGGTGAAGTTAATAAATGTCCTTCAGTGCTAAGAAAATCTGTTTCTTGGTAAATTTTAGCTTCATTTCTTGGCATTTTGGTTAAAGCAACTTGTGCTGGTTGAAGAGTTTCTTCTTGGTGAAGATAAACTTGAACACGGCACAAAGTTTTTCAACCACTTGAAAAACAGTTGTAAAGAAGGCCGCATTAAAACCACAGGAGGTTTTCTTTTGCTTTTGGGTCAAGTTCTTCAATTCAACTGTGAAAAAAGACTGCTTTTCACAGTTAAAAGAAAGTGCTCAGTTTTCATACATGACTTGGAGAGA